TTGCATTGGACAGACTCTCCAGTTCCTATTAAATCCCAGTATAGTCTTCATTTCCTCCTCAGTTAATTCAAAGTCAAACACCTGCAAATATGTATAAAATATAAGAATAATGACCCAACCAAAAGAAGTTTAAGTAACAAAATGGAAAGATAATCAATCTCCCCAGCTAAAGACCTGGAAATTCTCTTGAATGCGCTGCGGTGTGATTGACTTAGGGATCACAATCACATTTCTCTGGATGTGGAGGCGGATCAGGACCTGGAAATAAAAGAATTCAGGCTATTAACGTGATAAGGTGATTAAGTTCAATATAATGTTTCAGAGTACAACAGGCAGATTGATTTGACTTTTTTCTCTTGGATAGAAGTTACTCAAAATAAAATAGAATATATCAGTGGGTTGTTCTGCCCAGAAGGACAGCTGTACCTGAGCAGGTGTCTTCTTGTGTTTCTCAGCGATGGCTTTAATGTTGGGATCCTCCAGGAGTGAGGGATCTTCTGGTTTAGCCCTGCATTTTCAATACATGTTCAATAAGATTTTCTCTGTGTACAAAATAAAGTATTATGTAAAATAAATAAATAAATAAATGAGACCCTGGTCTCATTGGCTTGTTACTTAATATCAAACTCGTGACAACATGTGCCACAGAGAGAAAGAGGAACAAGAGTCATGAGTTGAAACTCGCTAAAGGGATATAATAGGCTGAACAGTATTGATAAATATTATATAAGTGAATCAACCAATGTGAGTGTGGAGTATTTGGGGACTTTTCAAGGCCTGTTGAAGTCATTTTGAGGCAAACATATTTGCCATGCCTACTGACCATGGTCTGTCAGGGGATCCCAGGGGGCTGTAAGCTGTCACCGAGATACCCTGGGAGTGGCAGTAGTTGATCAGCTTGTCCTGGGTCAGGTATGGGTGGCACTCCACCTAGTGGGAAAAATGAGAAGCAAATAAGAGTGATAAATCTATGCATGTATCATGTCAGTGAACCCCTTCAAAACATGCACATATTATTATTATTATTACTACTACTACATATTACTTTAGTATTTCCATTACATGACTGAAGAAAAGAGAAGGAAAACAGCTTCACTTAAAAATTCAGCATTGAATGTCTTGTCAAAGGACTAATATTTGTATATGAAGACTCTTAGCATGGCTAAATGAAGTATTTTAGTACTGGCTTAGAAGTAAGATACAAGACCATAAGCCTTCAGACACTGCTGGATCCATTTGGCATCATTTTCAGTGATAAAGTTTCCTGATAAGCAGCTATAGCACTGCTGTGCTCTGATGACAAAAAGGAAAAGAATTGCGCTTTAATCTAATATAAGACACAACGTGACGTTGATGGTAAACCATGATTCGGAGAACAAACAAA